AGGTTATGGGGGTAGATGTTGAGCAATCAGTGAAAAAGGTGATTTTGATGTATGTATTTATACATAATGAAGAAAATATGTAACACATATACTATATATGTACATATATATTTCTGTATCTGTCTCTATCTCTGAAAACACTGGCATTCAAAATTTAAAACTTGTTGGAAGTGAAGGCAATGATGCAGTGTTTCCTAGTGTCCTTCGTCAATCCTCATCTGCAGTGGCAGCGCAACAGTGAGCATAACCTAAACCACAGTAGCGGCAGGAGACATTGTGGGCGAGGAGAGCATGAAGGAGAGGAAGATTAAGCTTATAACATTGACACTAACATCAGTATTAATAAAGAGGTTTTTTAATATAATGTATTAGACATTAATCTCTTTGTCCCCTTTTTCATCAAGATTTTCAATGAATTTTAAGGTGTTTCCCAACTTAAAAAAATACCATGACAAGAAGTCAAGAAGAGTTGAAGGGATTCATGTGGAGGCACATGTATGCATACGCAAAAAATACTCATTAAGTAGGCATGACCCAATCACCTCCCAGAGTCCTCATCTCCAAATATCATTGCATTGTGGGTTAGGATTTCAACGTATCAATTGGAGCGGGTTCAGTCTATTGCTTGCACCAGCAACTCTAGCCCTAGGAATGAACCCATGAGAATTGCACATATATAGCCTCACAAAAATTTATGCATAATTATTTATGGTAGTTATTCATAATAATTGAATTCATAATCATTATTCATAACTGAAAAATAAAAAACACAATGACAACAAAGCAAATATTAATCACATGATGAGTGTACTAACAAAATGTTGCCACATTATTCATACATATATATAGCCAGACAGTAGAATATTATTAACCCATAAAATCAAAAATAGAATGAAGTACTTTGTAAGATGAATGAATTTTGTAAGTATTACGGTAAGTGAAAGAAGCCAAGGTACATATTTTATGATTCAACATACATGAAATATCGAAAGTAACCTAATCTATAGCAAGTCAACTAGTAGTTGCCACAGGTTAGGGGAGAGAGAAGGTAAAGTAACTGTTAATGCACACAAGGTTTCTTTCTGAGCAGATAAACATGTTCTGAAATTACAGAGTATTTATTCTTGCATAACCCTATGAATATACTAAAATCCAATGAATTATGTGCCTGAAAACAGAGACTTCTATTACATGTGAATTATATCTCAATAATTTTGCTATTAAAATATATGTAGTTTTAGCTGAAACACATTAAAGCTTAGTCATTACTTTGTCCTCACAAGAAAAAATCAGAACAAGCTGAAAATCATGACTTTTCTTGAATCCATCAAAGAACTCTGGAGAAACAGCAAACTGCTACCCTGCATCTGAAGAAACAGGCAAATTCGGAGCATCACAGCTGAGGTCTTCTTACTTGAAGCAGAGCCACCTGAGCCATAAACTGTTGAAACACTTATGTGGTCATTTTGATGAATTGCTAGAGGATAAGTGTGAGCTAGCATGAAAGTGAAAAACTCTCGAATGCTGCAGTTTTAGCAAGACTCCCACGCATTCATGGTTTCATGCTCAGGCATCCCACAAGGTTCTCACAGTGAAGAGCCGAGAAAGATGCCCTCCTGACTCTGGCAGCAGCATTTGATATAAGGAAGTCCTACTATCCGGAGGAAAAGACTGATCTATTACAGTCTAAAATAGACTGCATTATTTTCCCCAATGGCTGGAGACACTAAGGAACATTTGAGAGGGTCACTGCCCAAAGACAAAGGGCCACTAAAAGATTTAGACATCCATGTTAGACTATAGAATGCTTTCCCTTCACCACGTCTTACCACCACTGCACCAGGGCTCCAGTGCATCTGGGGTTACGTTCATAGTAATCAGACTCAGCCTGACGAATAGCTTCTTAGAGAGCCCCAAAACAATAGGGGGTGACAAAATCAAGTGCAATAAAGGAATTTTATTTCTTGGCACCTACAAATATTGCAAGTATTAAACACAACCTAACTCCAGCAAGATTAACAAAAATGCAAATACTAAATAAAACACATCCGGGCACCTACAAACATTGCAAATATTAAACACAACCTAACTTCAGCAAGATTAACAAAAATGCAAATACTAAATAAAACACATCTGTTCCCATTACCTGATGCAACATATCTACTTTCAACAAAAGTATATAAGGCGTGTTAAAAGACAAGTAAAAATACAATCTGAAGACAAAGAAATTACCTTTAACAGTCTCAGATATAGCACAGGAATTGGATAATGAGACAAGGAATGCAAAATAACTATGATTAATATAAGATCAAATGCAAGATGTAAGCAACAAGATAGAAACTTCTGAATTTTAAATCAAAAGAAAAGGCTAGAATTCAAAAACACTGCACCAGCAGTAAGGAATGTCTTTGAAGGGGCCATTAATAAACTAGTTATAAATGGTAAAAGAATTTAGTGAGTTCATAGTTAGGTTAAAAGAAACTTCCCAAACTGAAATACAAAATAAAATAAAGTAAGAAAATTGAAAAAAGCAAACAAAAACCACAAGAATATCCAAAAATTACTGGACAGTTCCAAAAGGAGTAATATGTCCATAATCAAAATATGAGAAGGAGAAAGAGCAAGTGGAGTAAAAAAAAAAAAAAAAAAAAATTGGGGGCTGAAAGTTTTCCAAAATTAATGACATACACCAAACCTTAGATTCAGGAAGATCAGAGAACACCAGACATGGTGAGTACAAAATGCCTATAACTAGACATATTATATTAAACTGGAGAAAACCAAGACAAAGAGAAAATCTTGAAAGCAGCCAGATATAGGAGAAAACATTGAATAAATAATCAAAAAACAACTCGTAATATGCCTATAAAGGGACAAACTTAAGAATTAAGAATTACAGCAACTTCTCATCCAATCCATCAGACAAAAATCAGTAAATATGTAACGACATATATAAATATATATATTTATATTATATATGTACTATATAATAAATATTATATATTTATTATGTTTATATGTTTATTATATAATATAAATATATGAGATAAAATAAAATTGTCTGTCTATATTATGCTTATTTGATCTAAAAGATAATTTCTTAAAGTAATAGTAGTATCAATGCATCACATGACTTCAGGGCATGGATAAGAGAAAAGAATGACAGCAAGCCATAAGGGATGGGAGAAAGGAGATTGGAAATACTTTGTTCTAAGGTGCCTACACTACAAGGGAAGTGGTAGTGTATTATCTAATGGTGGACTTAGAATACATAAATTTGCTAACTCTAAGACAACTACTAAAAAAAATTAAAACTGTAATTGATATGGCAAAAGAGAAGCTACAGTGGAATTATATATAAAAAATACTCAGTAAAATATAAGAAAAGAAGGAGGACAAGACAGAAAAAATGAAATAAATATACAGGGCTGGGTGTGGTGGCTCACACCTGTAATCCCAGCACTTTCGGAGGCTGAGGCAGGCGGATCACAAGGTCAGGAGATCGAGACCATCCTGGCTAACACAGTGAAACCCCATCTCTACTAAAAATATTTTAAAAAAATAGCCAGGCATGGGGGCAAGTGCCTGTAGTCCCAGCTACTCGGGAGGCTGAGGCAGGAGAATGGTGTGAACCCAGGAGGCGGAGCTTGCAGTGAGCCAAGATTGCACCACTACACTCCAGCCTGGGCGACAGAACGTGAATCCGTCTCAAAAAATAAAAATAAAAATAAAAAATAAAAAAAGAAAGAAACATACAACAGTTACAAATACATTAAATATTAATCTAGAATCAATAGTCAACTATATGTCAGGTTTATACACCAATTAAAAGAACAAGGGTTGTCAACACAAAACTAAATTATATGTCATCTGTAAGAAACCCACTGTTAGTGTAAATATTTGGATAGGTTAAGTGGTAGAAAATGATTTGCCATATTAACACTAATGAAAAGAAAGCTGAAGTGGCAATATTAACTTGAGCAAAAGGAGAATTTAGAACAAGATTATCAGGGATAATGTTAAATATTGCCTAATGATACAGTCATCAATTCTCTAAGAAAATATGTCAGTCCTAAATATTTTTACACCTAACAATAGATCATCAGACTATGAGGTTTCAGTGACAACTGAAACAGTTCCAATAAAAAAATAGACAAATACACTATTACAGTTTGATACTTCAACACTTCTTTTTCAATAATGGTCAATCCATCAGACAAAAATCAGTAAATATGTAACTGGTACAAGTTCTCTACAGTCTCTTGCAGAAAACAGAAGCACAGAATATATTTCCTAAGTCATTCTATAAAGACAGTATTACTCTAATCCCAAAATCAGATAAAGATACTATATGAAAGTAATACTACAGACTACTGATTAATGTAGATGCAAAAACCCTCAACAAAACTTAGATCAAATCTAAGGAATTTGATTAAATAAAAAGAATTAAATAAATAATTAAAATAAGATAATTAAATTAAAAGATCAAGTAAGAAGAATTATACACCACAACCAAATGAGATGTGTCAGGATGTTTTAACTTCAGAAATTAAATAACTACAATTCATTACAACAGACTGAAGACAAAATATCCCATGATCATATGCAATATTAACACACAATTTTAATTAATAACATTTGAAAATCAGCAAATGGAAGCACAAAATACATAAATCTTTAATTTAGCTGTAAGCCAAACTGTTTTTTATTGAGAAGATGTATCTTATACCTTAAAAATTGTCTACTTTTCCAAAACTCTCTATAACATTTTGAAGAATGTTGTACATAGGAAGAGATGCATATAATCACAAACCCTGAAGCAAAATGTTAGGGACTGTATGATAGAGAAGAATGAATGTCAGCTGGGGGTAAAATTAAGAGGATCATTCACTTCAATTAGTTGAAAAAAGGAAAGACTTTAAAAAAAAAAAATGACAATGCTATGTTGCTTAAGTGTCTCGACCTGCATGTGTTAATCATAATAAGATAATACCTGCTAGAAGGAAGGAGAAGAGTCCAGATGCATAGATACAAAATAATTCATCTTCAGGAAGGGAGTTTGCCAGTCTTCACAGAGATAGAGAATCCTAATTTTTCAAGTTGTTTTCAAAGCTCCCTGACTTGGCTTGGGAATGGGAAAAGTGTAGATCCTCTTGTGGAAGCCAGCAATCTTCTTAAATGAAATCCTTTTCACCTCGCTCTCTTTAATTCCCCCTAAAGACTAAAGATAGGCATTGGATTACAACTCTGGCCTTCTGCAAATATTTCTCAACATAAGAAAAGTTCCTTTTAATGACTTGTTTTATGTGCAAGTGGGTATTACTTCTCTAGCTCCTTCTATCAACTGGGTCACATGCAGTTGCAAGTTCCAGTTATTTGCAGTCACATAACAAAACATTATTTTCAGTCACATAACAAAATCCAGATTCCTTTTAAAAATTTTTATTATTTTATTTCAATAGATTCAGGGGTACACATGGTTTTTGGCTGCATCGATGAATTGTATAGTGGTGGAGTTTGGGTGTTAGTGTATCTCCCACCTGAATAGTGTACATTGTATTCAACAGGTAATTTTTCATGCCTCATCCCCTCCTGATTTTCCCTATTCTGAGTCTTCAGTGTCCATTAAATCACTCCATATGGCCCTGCTTACCCATAGCTTAGCTTCCACTATAAGTGAGAACATGCAGTATTTGATTTTCCATTCCTGAGTTACTTCACTTAAGATAATGGCCTCTGGTTCCATCCAAGTTGCTACAAAATACACATTTCACTGTTTTTTATGGCTGAGTAGTATTCCATGATGCATGTGTGTGTGTGTGTGTAGATAGATATATACACACACACACATACACACACACATATGTATATATTTATATATATATGTGTGTGTATATATATCTCTCACATATTTTGTACCTACCCACTGGTTGCTGGGCACTTAGGTTCATTTCATATCTTTGCAATTGTTTTTTATTTTTCTCACATAACAAGAATTCAGGGAGAAGCTAGGAGAGGAGAGAGGCAGTACATGGCTGGCAAGGCAGCTCCCAGGAGGTGCCAGAGATCCAAGCTCCTCTTTCATTCTTCTCTAATCAGCCAAGCTGAGGACCTAGATTTAGTCACTCTGCTTTTGTCTGACAGTTTTTTCTCCCCCATATGCTACATTTCATAGAAATTCACAAAAGGGAAAGGTATATAAGGCGGGGGTGTGCTATCTATCTCCTTTTGCAGATCTGTGTCTTCTGCAGATACCCATTCCGGGAATTAGGTTACCTACTATCCTTTGTCATCAAGGGATGTTGGGTACATTGTTATACTTAACAACATCGAGGTTCTGAGAGTAAAACATGAAAAAGAAAAAATTAATATTGGTTTATCAAAAAGCAATTTCTATCCAATCACACTAAAGTTTTAAACACACACACTGACACAAAGTTGGTTAATGTCCTCATTATACCTATACAAATAAGAAACCTACCATTTGACTGACTGTACAAATAACTTCATAGGGTCATTCAGTTTAGAATTGGGGGCCTGGGCCACATACTGCTGAGGCTTCATCTGTATAGCACAGTTTTATTCTGAAAATAATATTTCTTTTTTACTTTTTTTTCACTCAGTTGCAAACACTACTATAATATAACACAGGCCTTCCTCTATGTGGATGGAAGGGAATTGATCTCACACCAAAAAACATTTAAAAGAAAGAACTAAACTAAACAATGATCATTTCTATTGATTGAAGATTATTTATTATGGGGCTCTGGGCATGGTAAATGGCCAAATGAAACGAGTTGTGCGAAAGCCCCATGCATTTTCCTTTATTCACAAAAAAAGATGAAACTAGTAGAATTAGTCAAGTCAGAACTGTAATGATTTTTAAACTCAGAATTAACAATCTATGCTAACAATTTTCTTTCAAATAAATGTATATTTCATGGGCTTTAATTTACTCCGCAGTTTCTCTTAATCCCAGACTTTCCTGGGGCTTCTGCAGGGGTGGTGTCCCTTAGAGAGAACAACACAAATGCTTATTAATGCCTCATGTGTGGGAAGAACTCGCACATTCATGACTGTCTAATAATCACAGAAGCCTGGAGAAGTTAGTATCATTATCTTCTTACTACTAGTAATATTATGATCAAAACCTAATAATAATGAAATGGGAGCATCTAAGTTGAATTTAGGATAAACCAAAGCAGTCAGTCATTCTGAGATATTAAGTATTAGTTCACAAATGATTTTACAATTATTTGACAGTTTGGGTTATGTCAGAGTTTAATTTAAAGGAAATATTTGGATTCACTTTAAAACTCACACTTTTAGTGAAAGAGTATTTTGCTGTTAAATTTCTTGTCTATTACACATCCTCCCTCCAAGTCTGTTTTTCAAGAAATCAAACAACATGTGCTTAGTTAAGAAATCTCTGGAAGATTTTACCAGCTTGGAGAAGGTCCTCGGCTCCCATTGACCTTTCAAAATTGTATTTTAGGATAGTAAACTCTCTTCTCTTCAGAGCAAGTCTCATTATGTCGGCAGCAGTTACTTTCCTCTCAAGCCAGGAGGAGGCTATTAATATCTTTCAGAGAAAAATTTGTGGAGTAGTCATAAGAGATGCTTATCTTAATATGGACTGGTTCAGTCTTCTTTTTGTCATGAAAAAAATCACTGTTGAAAAATACCAGCAGGTGTTGAAAGAGCAGGATTAATTTGTAAGAGTTGAATGACATCATTTTCAAATGGCTTATTAAACACTAATTAGATTTCAAATTGTGTGACTCTCCATATACTTAGGTGAGGATGGGAAAGTTTCAGCATCTGCTTTCTCTAGCATGGGGGTGAACAGGGTTACAGTTCAATTTCCATAGGTGACAGTTTATCAAATGAAATCAAAATGGAGTTATCCTAATTCATGTTTCATAAAACGAAGAGTGTGTCTGAATCTTTATTTCTATTCTCAGTAATCTTAGCTAATTAAGCAATTTTACTAAACAGTACAATTTCTTGATCTGCTTTTTGTAATTCAAAGCATTTTTGTAATGAGATTACTTCAAATGTATTGTCAAAAAAAGAACACAATACTACTCAGTCAAAAAGCATTTTCAAAGAGTAGTCAAACTCAGTGCTCAATAATGTCACATTTTACCTTTATAAACTTAGTCAATAAACATGTTTTACTCATTCAATATAACATTTATTGTGTTAATTGTATACACATTGTAAAGGCTTAGATACAACTATATATATAAAAGTATTTTACCCAACAAATGTAACTCTGGGTAGAGTATTAACCTAATGCAATCTTTTTAAAAATAACTTGAATAATTCTAACTATATGAGACTTTAAATAAAAGGTTTATTAGGTTTCTTCTACCGGTTAGACACACCAGAATACATGCTTGAACTCAAGGCAAAGATAATATCAGATATATAACGAATATATTATATTCTGAAGTATCAAAAAAGCTGCTTTTTTTTATTTATTTGATAAATAAATAAATAGTTGAAGAGCACAGAATGCCAATTGGTTGAATGTAGTTCACAGACAAAACTCATTTCACCTTTATTCCTCCAAATGAACTGGGAAAAATCACAAAGAGTAAAATTTTCCTAAACTCGGCCTAGTGACTCTATGAAGGTTCTGGCATGATGTACAAATTTCTGTTTCTCCAACTTCCTCCTCACCATCCTCTGCCCACAGTTGCTCCAGTGGCATTTCCTGAACCATTTTGAAGGAGACAAAAGGTAAATTGTGCGCCACCATACACACTTCTCAAAATGCTTCCCATACTTTGAACCAAGTGGAAGAGTTAATAAACATCTACAATTTAAAAATAGCATTACATATAAAAGCCCTGTGATGTACAATCTCTTCCTGCGCCCTCGTCAACACTCCTGAAGCTGTGTCGTGGAGGACAGCAGAGCTCAGAGGTGGCAGACCACACCAGACAGACTGCTCCTTTACATAATAAAAGCATGCCACGATAGCCTGCCTCTGGAAAATATTTAATACTTTGTTTATCATGAATATTCTGCATTAAGTCTGCTTTGCGTTGTAAAATATATTGCATTACAATACTTATTTTCATCATTGAATTTTTTTTTAGCATTCCTTTAAATGTTGCTCCTGAGGCAAGTGTCTTCATCTTCTCATTCATGTTACATCCTTGGTCTTGGTATTCCGTGCATATTCCAGATTCATGTTCTATATTCCATATTCAATCCCATTTCAAGAACATTGCATTTCTTTTTAAACTCACGCCCAGAACGTCTCATAAAAGACTCCTCTTCATTCAGGGATGAGCAAAGGTGTGCTAGGCATCTGTCCCATTTGATTCCCTTCTGTAGCTACACTGTGTATTTATCAGTTATGTGTTTATTATCATTATTTCCACTAGAAAACCAAGTTCCATCTGTTTTGTACTCTGGTCATTCATCATCCTTCCTTGTACAGAATGGGCATTTGATGACAATGTTTTGAATGAACGATTGTATGAGATTTTTTTTTGGCATGGAGTAAGTCCTTTTATTTAAAAAAAAAAAAGCAAATTTAGTTATTATTTTCCTGGGGTAACAATGGTCATTCTAGGTATTTAATCAAAGAAAGACTAAATGGAAGTGACATTTGTCTGTGATCACTCGCCAGCTCTGTTGGTTGTTTTGATAAAAGAGTGGAGAAAAAAAATTCCATGTGGAAAATGGTTTAAGCAAACAAAGCACCCACGGGACACTGTAAACTGCTGAGGGACACACTATGACTTAGGTAGAGGTTTTGTTTTTGAGTCATGATAGTTGAGGCAGAGAAGTAGGTACAGTCCTCTGTGACATATGTTATCTGCATTGGTCAGCATTTTATTATGTAAGCAGAAGAAAAAATGAAGATTTGAAAGGTCCAATATCTTTGTGTAAATGTTGATCTACCTACTGTGTAGACAAGGAGCTACTTGACAGTGAGGATATTAAAGCAAAATCCAGCACAATTTTCTGATTGCATGTTACAGGGAAGGTAGTCGATCTAGAACAGAAGCAGCTTGAGAAGACGATATAGGAAAAATCTTATCCTTTCAATTATAGTAGACCTGACATTGACTGCCATTAGACCATGTACTTACTCTTACCTGAAATATTGTATCATTTTTTCATCAACGGTCCATACATTGACTGATTGAATGATTCATTAATTCATTCAAAAATATACATTTAGCAAATTCTATATGC